TCTTCCTTAGGATGCTGTACTCACATCCACATCATTGGCGCTGCTGATTGCTCAATTGGTGTATTGGGATGGCAGGATTTTAGTAGATGGACAAAAGTAAAGTATGAGTGTGAGTTTCGGCCTAATGAGACTCTTGCATTGTTCAGGAAGAATTCTCTTTTATGCAGGTGTTAATTTGCTGATGCCTGGAGGACTGTTAGTAATTATCCACTCTATTACATACTACTGTGGAAGTGAACTTACGCCATCCTTCAATCCACCGATGAATAATTTGCACATCAGTTTTAGTTGAGGTGCAGTTCTCTTTGCTTTCTTCTGGTAATTACAGAGAGCTTTATCAGTGTAAATATCTGAGAGCCTTACAGGCTTTTTTTACCATCCTTTTCTTAATTACATTCTTTCTGAAATAAGCAGAGACCGACCTGAAACATAAAGCCCTCACCTAAGGACTGGGGGAGAGAGCCATCGTCAGTGAGGAGTGTCAGAAACAGTGAGCATGGCTTAGAAAGATGCAGGAAGTCAGTCCCAACCCTCAACCAATTCTGAGCTGTGGAGGTAATGGGCTGGGACCACTGTAACATTCCTCAAAAGCGCTCTTAACCACTCTAAAACTATCCTAACCCCCTTATAGGCAGCTCTAAACTATATATCTCTTCCAGATTGCTTGAAAATCCTTTAATCAGCTCTGAAGAGCTGTAAGGACAGCTTACTGTAGCCACAGTAAGGCAATTGCCTCAAAATGTGTAATCTACACAGCTTTGAATGGTCTCTCAACTACTCTAAAACTCTTCTAATCAGCTTTAAGCTGCCCCAAAATAGTTCTAAATATCTCAAAGGATTTATTGCCATTCAGATGCCTTGAACTTCCTGTTAACATCTCTGAAAATCTCAGAAATGACTCAAATTCCTCCAAAGCTCCACAAAAGCAATCTAAGCAGTCCTGAGGAGCTGTAATATGCCCATAAAGAGTGCTAGGGTCCTCTAAACTACCCTAACATCCTTCTAAACCTGCTCTACGCAACTTTCAGATTCATCTGATCATATCTAGACCCCTTCTATATTGATCTGAGAACCTCTGAATTTCATTTGGGTCTCTGCAGTTCCTCCAAGGACTTTTTAAACTGCTTGGAGATGCTTTGAGATGCTCTAAAGCCCTTTGGACAGCTATGAAACACCTCAGATAGGCTCTTAAAGAGCTGAATTATACCCCCTAAATTGATCAATTAAATTGAAATGTATTTAATTTATTAATTAAATAATAGAAGTTAACTGTTTCTAAAGCACTCTAAAGTGTTCAGCTCCGGAATCAGTTCTAAGCAATGGTGAGAAGCTATATATTCACCTAAAATCTCCATTCTGCCCCTCTGAAAACCCTCTAAACTGCACTAATCTAATCTAAATTCTCTTACACTGCTTTAAGCAATACTATAACGGGACAAAATAGCTCTCCAAACCCTCTCGATCCCCATGCAACTGCTCTAGAACTCTTCTGCAGCTCCGAAACTTCTTTTCTAGAAATAACACTTCTCTTTGGGCCTTTAAAACTCAATGATGCTATCAGCTCCACATCCTTCTAAATGTATCTAACTCCTCTAAAGCCCTACAGATTATTCTGAGCTGCTCTAAGGACACCTGGAAAAGGGAGAAAAGTCTCAAAGAAATGAAAAATAGATGTGCTTTGTGACAACCTGCTAATGAAGCCAAACAGCACGAAAAATGACCACTGAGCACTAACGGCCCACAGTGAGCATATTTTGGAGTGGAGGAGGAATACCAGAGACCCAACCACCTCTGAGATCATTATGTGACTGCATGAAAAATGTGCTCCCGGAGCATGCAACAACAGGGGATTGTTCTGCAGGTTACACAAACATCATTGAGTCTTCTGTGCCTGGGCAGAGTTCTTCGGGGTCTTTGGTGGTCGTTTGGGGAGGTGTCCCCCTACTCACTTTGATGTTTGGACACAGGATTTCTGAGGGCACCTAGTCTCCATCTGCATTCTGCTGATTGGTTACTGTGTTGGACTCGTGCCCCTGTCTCAAGGATGTTGCTCTTAGTATAGAAGTCTTGTGGTCGGGAAGGATGTTTATTTATTTGGCAGGCTGAGCAAGCTGTTCCTGTTCAGCCTGGAGAAGAAAAGGCAGATAGGGTACCTCAGTTGCAGCCTTCCAGTAGTTAAAATGTGATTATAAACAGGAGGGGAATTGACTTTTTACGAGGGTAGACAGTGATAGGATAAATGGGAATGGTTTTAAGCTCAAGGAGGGAAGATTTAGGTTGGATGTCAGGAGGAAGTTGTTTCCTATGAGAGCAGTGAGGTGCTGGAACAGCTGCCCAGAGAGGCTGTGGATGCCCCATCCATCCCTGGAGGTGTTGAAGGCCAGGTTGGATGGGGCCCTGGGCAGCCTGGGCTGGTATGAAATGTGGAGGTTGGTGGCCCTGCATGTGGAGGGAGTGTTGGAACTTCATGATCCTTGAGGTCCCTTCCAACCCACACTGTTCTGTGATTCTGTGATTGTCATGATAAGCAATTTGTATGGAAGTAACTATTGCTTTGAGCAAGCACCTTGATTAGGCAAAATGGCAGATATTTAAGTATATTGGTCTTAGCATAGCATAGATCAGCAGTACATCTGGAAGTTCTATGCAGAACTATAAGTCTGAGCAAAACTGGCAGATAGCTAGCTCTAAGGCATCAGCTGTAGGAAACCCAGATTGTGCTGGGAGGACAGATGGGGTGGTGATGTGCACTGCTGCCTTTCTCCATGGGACCCAGCCGCTGTGCTGCATGTGCCACACATCTGGTGAAACCGCACGTGGGGGAAGCAAACAAAAACCACATGGGCTGCGTGTGGGCAGTGGTTTTAGCACCCATCTGCCATTGTCTTCTGCTCTTTTTTCAGTGCCACGACTTAGAATCGTAGAATTACTTTGTTTGGAAAAGACCCTTAACATTATCAAGTCCAAGCGTCACCTAGCCCTGCTGCCAAGGCCACTGAACCACCACCCTCAGTGCCACGTCCCCGTGTCTCTACCTGCAGGGCTGGGGACCCCAGCCTTTCCACCAAGAAATTCTTCCCGATATCTAATCTAAACCTCACTCGGCACGGTTCGGGGCCGCTTCCACCTATCCGATCGCTTCTCACCCGAGAAAAAGAGATAGCTGCGGGGGGCGATGAGGTTTTCCCTCAGCCTCCTCTTCTCCAAACCCAGCAGCCCCGCATACCTCAGCCGCTCCTCCTAACTCTCGTTCTCCAGCCCCGAACCCCCGCGGCGGGGCGGGGCGAGGCGGAGCCGCCTCAGGGCCGCTCCGGAGCCGGCCGGGCGCTTCGGGCGCTGGTTGCGGAGGTGAGGGGGCGGTGGGGCGGGGGGGGGGACGGACTCCCACACACCCGGCCTCCGGCACCCTGTCGAAACCTGCTTCAGAACTTTGACGCTGTTCAAAGCTGGAGTGAGTGGAGACAAAGCTTTAAAGATGGGCGACTGCTAATCGGTATTTTTCTTTATTTTTCCCCGATCAGCTCGATGACGCCCAGAAAGAAGCTGGAGGGTCTGGTCGCTGCCACAGTCACCCCGATGACTCCTGATGGGTGAGCATCGCCTGGCACCTCTGCACGGTTGTGTCACGCTGTCAGCTCTCCCCTCGGGATTTCCTTTCGTATTTGGAACAGATGGCTTTAGGCTGCGATTTGGATCAGATCTCTGTGGGACGGGGAACTGCTGGGTGAGAGGCTGTCTGTCAGGGCTTGGAGGTTAGATCAGTCCTTAATCCATTTTTTCAGCTGTTTTTGTAGATGCAAACTAAATCACAGGAAATCGTGTTAGTATTGCAGTATTTTCAAACTCAGATCACACCCCTCGTTAAAAAGAAGTCTTAGGAGCTAAGGAATAATGATCTAAATCTGATGTCTTTTTACTCTTCTCTTGCCCCTAACGAACTCACACGTGCTTTTGCGTGCATACATGTGTCAGCAGCATTAGTCTAAACCAGAACAAAATATTGCAAGGACTGCAAAAATAATGTCAAATCAAAAGTTGAATTTCCGCCTTCCTCATGGAAATGATAAACAGATGTCGTCCTTACTGCAGTTTGATGTTGCAAGACTGAGTTGTTTGGAGTCAGCAAAGGGCCCTGAGCTTCTCTAGTGGGGGATGTGTCACGATCTGTATGTGTTTTTGAGGAAGGTGGTTGTTATTTACTGATACAGTCCTCTGAAAGTGAGCCTTTACAATGTAAATGTACTGTAGAGCATGGTCTGAGATCAGTAAGGGAATTTAGGTACATTGCCGTCACAGCTTGCTTTCTTCCTTTAAAGAAAACTTATTTTCAATGTTGTTTTTTATTACTGCTTGAATTTACTGCGAGGTGGTATTTGGAATGTGATCTGGGCCCTCTACCTGGGATGCTTGGCCCTCATAAGATACATCCTGTGAGAACTGGGGTAAATTATGAACCCAGTAAAGGCCCCAGAATCAAACGTCAGACTGTGGGGTCGGTCTGCGTGCTTGGCAAATAGGAACAAGAATAAAATACTATGCACTGATAAACATTTTTTCTTTTTTTTTTCTGGAGAGAAGACAAACCTATAAACCTTCTGTTTGTCAAGGAAGTCTGTTGTTTTCCCCATCCTCTAATGAGAGAGAGGTCAAAGTCACATGCAGCAGGCTCTGTCTCACAGCCTGTGTCCTGTAGTTACAAGTGTAGTTTAACTATTGGCCAGCACGTGCACAAATACCTTTGGGCTCTCAAGAGCATTCTTGCTTCTCTTAACAGTCCAGAAGATTCAAGTGTGTCTCATTGCCTGTGGTATGTTCAACACATGCTGAAGGTATCATACCTTGGGGTAATTTGTGTGTGCACAGATGCAAAACTTGAGAAATACATGACTTTATTTTTGATTACTGAATCTTAAGTTTAAAATTGTTGTAGGTAGACACGGTTGCTGAGACTCCTAAAGTTGCTGTGGTTCCTTTCATTTCAGACAAATCAACCTTTCAGTGATTCACCAGTATGTGGATTACCTGGTAAGCAAGCAGAATGTGAAGAACATCTTTGGTAAGTTTTTTTTATTCCCCACAGGAAGTGCATAATGTTCCTTTTGCCTGGAGAGCAATCCTGTGCTGCCTAGCCTCATAGGAGCTGGAATGGGAGGGAATATGGATATGAGGTCATCACTCATGTTTATATTCACCACTGGAGAGAGTGTAAACAATACTTAAAGATCTGGTTTTACCTACAGCCATTTCTGTGCAGGGTAAAACAAGTATTGCCTTCATACAGTGACTTCCCAGCAGTGATGGATAATACTGTATTTGAAAGAGAAAACTCAATTGAGTGATTCTTCCCTTTTCCTGGGTAGGATATAATCATCTGACTTAAAAAAAGTTCACTCAGGAGTCCAGAAGTTCCAAAGGGTTCATCAAAGCCAAGTGAATTTCTGTAAGAGATGCGTGATGCACTGTGTGATGCAACAGCAGCCGCTGCTCTCCCTTGTTCCCCTCTCTGAGGGATGGCTGGATAGGTGACAGAGCATCTGATAAACCATTTCTGTTCATAGCCTTGTGTAGTTAAGTAAGCTGAAGTCAATGCTGAGATTTCTGTTCAAAATTTTAGTCAAAAGAGGTTCATAATGGAAACTGGAGCATGGCAGTGACTTCAGCACCTCAGTTTAATCTATTTTATTTTAATTTTGTGACTGAGCATACTGACATTTCCTTGTTTCCATTAGGTGTTAAGCCTCAGATACGTGGTTCCACTTCATGACAGAATCACCAAATTTCAGTTCAGACTTTTTCCTTGTAGTGAAGGAGTGACTGTTCCCTTGCTGAGTATCCTTTCATGCACTTGACATTTTGCTGGGTGAAAGAGGTAGCACCTGGATGGGGAGGACATGGGACAGTTTCAGCAGCTGGCTTTGCCTCCTTCCTCTTACAACTGCTGATGCTGAAACATGCTTTAGACACAAGCATTTAGCAATGGCAACACTTTAAACTCCTTGCAGATGCTCGTGCAGACTGATGTTATCTTAAAATGGATTGAGGGAAATATAATTCTGCTTAATATCATCAGAATTGTCAGTACTTTTCTTCAGCATAACCAATGTATTGGGCCAGATCTCAACAGCTGTGTTGTGTTGTAACAGTGAATGGCACCACAGGAGAAGGCCTGTCCCTTAGCATCCAGGAGAGGAAGCAGTTGGCAGAAGAATGGATGTGCCAAGGGAAAGACAAGTGAGTGGCTGAGAGGGAGCCGGGAATTCCAGACCTCACGTTATGGTACAGGCATACCTGATTGCAAAGCCACATTTGCTGATAACCTTTTTTTTTCTTTGAGTACTTTTGTTGTTGAGCTTTGTTCCCCAGCTCTTTTGTCATAGAAGCCTGCTTTTTTGTAGTTGCCAGATAGATAGTATCCATTTCCACTCAGCTCAGAGCTTGTGAGAGTCCTCCTTTTTGCTACACCGAAGGGTGGACAGATAAAAACCCTGGAAACTCCCTTGGCAGGAGCAGTCTTTTAATTTAGCCCACTGAAGTTCTTAGTCTGTGTCACTTCCTAGTTTAAACTGGTTCCTTTTGGCAGATGGGCATTTTTTGTCGCTGCTGAAACCTCCTCAAACCTTCTGAATTTGTTGTTGTGCAGGCTGGATCATGTGATAATTCACGTGGGAGCTTTAAGTCTACTGGAGTCCCAAGAACTGGTGTGTATATTAAGATTTCTTTCCACTATGTGCGTAATAAATATAAAAGCAGATGTACCTTCAGGTATTTATGATTCCTTCTTTTGTAGGCCAGACATGCAGCAGCCATAGGTGCTAGTGGCATTGCAGTAATAGCTCCCTCCTTCTTCAAACCCACAAACAAAGGTGAGTAGATGTGACTGCCAGACCTCCCGAGGCCCTTTTATGCTGTCCTCAAACCATTAACAGTGTTTCATGGCAAAAGCCAGCTCCAGTCCATGAGAACCAGTGATGATAATACCGCTCCTTGTAGAGCAATTGTGGCTTTCCTCTGAGCAATAGGGGTATTTTCAGCTGCTTGCAAGGTGTCTCTTCCAATTCCTACATTTTAAAGGATATTCTCTAAGGCTAAGCATTTGAGTTGTGCATTAATCCTCTCTCAGAGCTCTCCTGTGTACTGTTTTCCTTCTTTGTAAAATATGCTGGTTATAATGTTTGCACATCTGTGATGTGCCTGGCACCATACAAAAGCAAAACCTAGGACAATCTTTTTAAAAATGGGAAGTACCAAATATTTCACAGCAAGAAGTGGGAGGGATGTCTTTTGAGAGAGTAGTCAGCTTGTCTGTCTTCTGAATAGTCAGTACTGAGGTCACACTTGGTCTGCGCTATGCTAGAAAGAATTCAGATCCATGATCACCCTCAGTGGACGCTGACCAACTCAATGAGCTGTAGATACAGCCACATCCACTGTCACTGAGGTGATGGGGTTTGTGACTTGGCATGCCTAGCAGGGTTATCTGCCCTTTGGTTCTCAAAACTTAGAAACTGAGTCTTTAGCTTTTAACATAACTAATGTAAGATTAAAAAACAAAAACAAAACACATATCACATGGAGGTTTGGAACAGAAACGTTTTGTTTGAGTGGTTTATGAATGGAATTGTACATATGAAAGCACCAAAAGAAACAGGAGTGGATTGCCAGGATGGCTGGTATCAATGACCAAGGACACAATCAGCAGCAACTGAACTGGTAAAAACACAGAGGCACAAACAGTAGAAGACATTTGCAGTGATTGTAGTAGGATGACAGCAAGGTTTCAACACAGAGCTTTTTGGCATTCCTCTTCCTTCTAATGCCAATGGGAAGATTGCCTCAGAATTATGAAGGATGCAATGAAAAGATTCTCAGGAAGAAAGAATGTCAGCTGAAACCAGACTGGCTTAGAATAAATATGACCTTTCCTGAGGTCTTTCATTAAGGACAGTTACAATTTATTTTTGTGATGTGTGCAGGTTTATATGTTATTGGCTATGTACGTTCCACAAGCTATGAATGGTTGTTCCACAGTCCCTGGCTGCTGTGAATTTGAACTTCCCTTCACTTGATCCTTTTCTTCCAGATGAACTCCTTGCTTTCTTACAGAAAGTTGCATCCGAAGCCCCTACAGTTCCATTTTATTACTACCACATTCCAGCTCTGACGGGTGTAAAGAGTAAGTACTGCTTAGTCAGCTCTTCTTGAGCCCCTCAACTCATTTTCTTTTTCTTCTTGATCTTGTAAAAGGAATGTTTCAAAGTATTCAAAAATATGTTTTTAATGTAACTTTTATGTCGCCCAAATTGTCTTGTAGTTGTTTTAAAAGGTGTGTAGTTTACCAGGCTTAGGCCAAAAGTGGGTAATCTGTAAAATAAAAGTCTAACACTTAGGGAAGAGACAGGGAAATCTCCCAGAACAGGGCTGTGCTTCTTCATGTGTGGTTGCTGTTATGCACAGTTCGTGTTGAGGAGTTGCTGGATGGAATAAGAGAGCAGATCCCCACCTTCCAGGGTGTGAAGTTCAGCGACACAGACCTCTTGGACCTTGCACAGTGTATAAACAAGAATGAGAGAGAACAGTTTATATTCCTCTATGGAGTAGATGAGGTAAGAGGCTCCTTTTAATGATTTATTCTAAGGTATTCTCTTGTTTCAGCCTTGAGGAAAAAAATAACCCTGAACATACAGTGTCAGGTAGTTTTGCTGTCCTCCTCACTTTTTTTTTTTTTTCCCCCCTTTTCTTTTGTTAATTGAAGTAAAAGTCTTAGAATCATAGACTCATTAATGTTGGAAAAGGTCTCTAAGATCATCTAGTCCAACCATCCACCTACCACCCATATTGCCCACTGACCACATCCCTGTGGGCCAAGGTCCTCCTCCCTTCCTGGATGTCCCAGGGGGTTTCTCTCTTCTTGAAAGTGCATCTATGATTATTTATTTAACATTCTCTTTCTCCTCCTAAACTAGCAACTGTTGAGTGCACTGGCAGTAGGGGCAAATGGAGCAGTTGGAAGGTCAGTATTGCTTAAACTTTTCCCTCTCCCACACACATCTTACTGTTACATCTTCCACTGTCTATGGGGTGTTTCTGTAACTGTCCTCTGTCACAGAAACAGAGGGTTCTTCAGGGTAAAGCTGCACAGTACAAAGCAGACAGACAAGATAGCATTGGGATAGTTTCATTATCTGGGATAAGGGCATAATATACCTTAATTGTAGTTTAAGGGATTATTGCTGCAGACCATAAGCAAACACAAAGGTTTCAGCATACTTTTTTTTGAAATAGGGAATCACTCCTGTCTTCATTGTATTGGTAAGGAACCAAAACCCAGGCAGATTAAAGTCATTTACTTCAGTTCACATTATAAGTCTGTGGGCTCTTTGACAGTTTTTGCAGCTTGGTTTCTGATTTCACTTCTTCCTTTTGTACTGGGCTGCTGGGCTTCTTAAATGAATTCCTGTATGACCCCTATGGTTTTGTGTAGACGATCCATTAAATGAATTACTACCTAGAATGTTAGTATTCAGAGCCTAATTATTTATTTTTATTTATACATTTTAAAAACAATTCCCTTTTGAAAGAACTTGGGAGAGAAATCTGATCTCCAAACTACTTCATAGGCCTTGCATACTTCTGGTGCTTTTCTGTTAACAGCACTTAGCAGCAGGAAAGTAACAGGCATTCTGATAATGTCAACAGAGAAAGCCAGCAGCTACTTTGTTTCAGTGGTTCTAAGCTCTTATTCCACATTTTCTAACTTTGTGGCTTTATTAATTTAATGTACTTACTTTTTTTTTTTGACAGTACCTACAACTACCTAGGTAGGAAAACCAACCTGATGCTGCAAGCTTTTGCAAAGCCAGACCTTGCATTAGCACAGAAGTACCAGGTACAGTATTTTGCTGTCCCCACAGAGAGCACCCTTGTTTCTCCTCTACCTGCACTGGGATGTGCTCTGTGTCTTTTTGTCATCTGTGCCCTGACATGTATCCCTGCTAAAGCAAACTGCTTTCAGCTCCAGCCCCCTGCTTCCTGTTCATAACATGAACATATACTTACCCTCAGCACGCTGGTTTCATTTATGCAGAGCAAACAATGGCTTGGCCTTTTGCCTTGAGCAGGTCCCACAGTAACTAAAATTCTTGGCTAGGCATATTCTGATACCTTACAAGATGTAATACAGAAAACTTTCCCAAACGTGCTCTGCCCTGACCCCTCCTGGACTTGGGCTGCACGAAGGTTTTGGAGGAGTTGTGAGCAACCAGTATGCATAATCTACTCAATATCTTTATGTCTCACTGGGACATTTGATGCTTCCTTTTTTTTTTTGCCTTAAAAGATATGTGGCTGCAGGATGAATGTAAAAAAGCCCAAACACGTAAAGAATGATCTGCTCTGGGAAATCTCTTCACTAGGCAGTGGATGTTCAGCTTGGTAAACCCCCCGGAGCCTGCCACAAGGGTTACCGCTATTTAAAGACTGCTTGCATTGAGGGGCAGCTTGAGCTTTAGTAATAGAATGAGTCTAATGTTTTTTTAATATTTCACTGTCTCACCTATTCCAATGGAATAGAGTTATTATTTCACATGGGCTGCCCAGGTGGCTGTAGTGGAAAAGCTAAGTCATGGCTTGAAGCAGTGATTGAGCACCTGGCAGGAAGGCAGGGCCAACACAGGGGAGCTCAGGTACAAGCAATGCACCTCATTTGAGGTTTCCAGGCCTCATTTAAGGGTTGGTGGTGGAGACAAGGCTGTCTTTTTGAGGGTCCTGCCTACCTGAAGCTTTTTGAAGGTAAGCAGGTTTCCTTTATTTCTGTGGCTATGACTGTTGCATCTGAGCAAATCCTCACTTACTGTTGCCTGGGACCTTGCTGCTCTGTTGTTGTTGCTGTGCTTTCCTCATGTTACAGTGACAAAAGACTTTTCTCAAAGCAGTGTGGCAATTGTATAAAATGTAAATATCATTATGGTTCTATATGCTTCTGCTTCTTTAAATTTGAAGGAATGGTTAAACTGTTGTTTGTCTCTTTTAGTTTCTCACGGGGGAATTTCTCAGTTTTGTCATCAAACTAGGTAAGTTCTATACTGCCCATGTCTGTTGTTATATCTTAACATGCAGACTCAGTACTCCAGGGACGCTGTACCCTAAGAATTTCCTTCCTGAAAGATTTCACAATGAGAAACTGCTACTTATGCAGCTTCCTGAGTTGATAGCTGACCAGGCATCCCTGAGAGATCTCACTCTCACTTCCTTCTGTGAAATTTTACAGTTTCAAAGCTGTGATTTACTTTCTTTTCTTATCCTGATTGTAGTGTTTTTTTGTTTGTCGTTTTTTTTCAGTCTCCTAAAGCCCATTGGTAGTGTTTGTTAAGAGTCACCTCTCTGGAATAGTGGTGCCCAAGTAGGGGAACACAGCTCTCATACTTGTTTCTCGTGCTGCTCTATAATTTAGAGTAACTGCTTGAGGATGTACAAGGCCAAAGCATTTTCAAATTGTATTGATTTTTAGAAATTAACTTTTAATGTGAAAAGCAATTAAAACCAACTAAACCAGAGTCATGTAGAGAGGCTGAATAAGATATTTCAAAATGATCACCTGGTGAACAGAACCATCCGCTGTGCTTTTGCTATATGTGTTTTGTAAGTACTCCAATGAATCCAACTGAGCTTTCAGGTTAGAACTAAGAGGAAATACATCATCATTTAGTCTTACAGGTTAAGAAGCAAACACCCAGAGTATATAGGGAGACTTGATGTACAGGCAGGTAGGCATCCTGAAGTTTCCCTTGGTGGTTGAAGCTACTGCCCTGCTGTCACCATCACATGCCAACAGGATGTTATCTTTCCCAGGGCTCTATTTCACATGAATGCTCCATAGGTTGTGTCAGGGATAGCTGTGAGGCTGCAAATGTTGAAGACAGAGAAGCAATTGTCTAAGATGGTACTTCAATTTGGTATCAGCAGGAGGGAAACAGTAGTAGTATAAGACATGTAATAACTAGGTGTAGTTTTTGCTGTAATGTCTTTCCTGCCTGCAAGTACAATCATCTCTTTGTTATGCTGTTCTCACTTCTGGGTAGTGCTTCAAGCCCAGTTGATGCCATATGACACAGGAACTGTGCGCTGCTGCTTTTTGACTTCTGCACAGAGACTGGTATGTGTGAAATAACCTGATCTTGCTTTTGTCTGCGCAGGTTTTGGGGTTGCACAGACAAAAGCTGTAATGACTTTTGTTTCTGGCATCCCCATGGGACCTCCACGGCTTCCGCTTGTTAGTGCCTCTGAGGAATTCATTGCCAAGGCCAAAGCCAAGCTGGAGAGCATTGTGTGGCCCGATGGTGACTGACTTCACTCCCACGTCGGTGTGCAGGGGCTCCTTTTCCGGGATTTGCTGTCACTTGGCATGCTCCTCATGCAATGCCCTGGTTTGGCTGGGATCTCCTTCAGGAAAATGAAAGTAATTGGCGTGGAAGGGCTGGCACACATGTAGCCAGCCACCTGTTCTTTAACTTCTCTCTGCTCCTCTGGAGCTCTGCACTGCCCAGCACTGGCTGCTATCATTAAACAAACAAACGGAAAAAAAAAGACAAAAACAAACAAACAAAAAAAACCTGGTTTGTTCCAGCAGAGGGATCCTGACCTCCTTTTGTCTAGGAAGAAAGGTCTGTCTGCACTGCCCCAAACAGGAGGGGAATCAACTTTTTACAAGGGTAGGCAGTGATAGGACAAAGGGGAATGGCTTTAACCTCAAGGAGGGTAAGTTTAGACTGGATGTCAGGAGGAAGCTCTTCACAGGGAGAGTGGTGAGGTGCTGGAACAGCCTGCCCAGAGAGCTCTGGATGCTCTGTTCTTGGGGGTGTTCAGGACCAGGTTGGATAGGACCCTGGGCAGCATCTGGTCTGCTACCAGATCTGGAGGTTGGTGGGCCTGTCTGTGGCACGGGGATTGGAATTTGGTGATCCTTGGTGTTCCTTCCAACCCAAGCCATTCTATGACTCTGTTTTATCTCTCCCTGAGCGTCTCAAGCCCTGGGGTGTCACTGCTGTACAACAACCTGCCTGCTCAGGCTGGTGTTATGCTGTTTCTCACCAAGTCATTTGTACATTAGTTGTGTCAAATCACTGTTTACCTCCTCTCATTGTCTTCGCACATCTTCACTTCCTGCAAAATTTAAAACAGAAGAACCTAAACCAACCCTTTTCTAACATCTGTTGACTCTCCAATGAACCATGGTCCTGCAGCCGTTTCCTTGTAGCCCAAATGTTTGGCACATCTATGACCCCTCATGACACAGCCCTGTCATGGGATGGGTGCTCTCCTGTGGTGGTGGAGCCTTCCCTGACCACTGCCCAGCTCCATTCTGCACCCTGGGTGGGAGGGTTCACTGTGGGTTGGCTGCTGGGCAGGGGGGCAGCTGATGTTGTGGGCCCTGGAGAGAAGTGAGCTCGATGTGTTGGGTGGGAGGGCGGTCCCTTTGGGGCTTTGTGACAAGACCCTCAGGTGGGGACCTGGGGTAATCCAGTGCAGGCATCTGGGAGCTCTAAGGGTGAGTGAGAAGTGAGCTAAACCACTTTGTCAGGCATGAAGCAGCCTGTTAAAAGCTGCTGCTGTGAGACTGGGTCATAAAGAACTACAGACGTCTGTTGAACTTATGCTGAAATGTATTAAATTCCACTGGGTTGGATCTGCTCTGTGCGCTGCTGGGCTGATCCTGGCTCCTGGGGTCCTGCACGTGCTGCTGGGGAGCCAGGCTTTGCTGCTCTACAGGCAGAATAGCAGAGCTGCTGCTCTGAAGCATCAGTTCTGTCGATGAAGTTGCTTGTTGCTAACTGTAATGACGTGGAGCAGCAGCAGAGGACGCACGAGCTCGCTCCTGTCCTTGTCCGAGGGTTTGAGAGGGAGGATGTGGGGAGTGAAGCTGTGCGGTTTGCTGCTGCCTTTTGGTAGAATCCCTGCCTACGCCTCTTGGTGTTGCTCAGTGAGGTTTTGCAGTACAATCCTTCTCTCTGAGAACGAACTGCAGCGTTTCCTTTCATAGATACGAAGGATTTTCTGGCCACAGCTTATACATGAAAAACCTATGGGAACGTGCATCTATCTATCTGTCTGCATAGCTATATATATACACAGTGGTATGTGGTAATGTTTGGTAATGTTCTCTGGTACTTTTAGCAACTTAAATTTAGCACTTGTATATTACTTATTGGTTTTCAAGGCAATCTACCCTGCACCCACAGCAGATCAGCAGTTCTGTTTGCAGCTCTGGGTGAAAGGCTTAAACGACATTGCCACGGACAATTCCACCAGCAAGAGAGACGTGCAGAACAGCACTGCCAGAGACCTTGTCACCTGCTTGATTTGGGTGAATGACATGAAGATGGATGTGTTCATAAAGAGTCTTTTGGATTTTCCTGGATGTGAGATACAGCCCAGTGTTTGTTAGTTTTCCCTAGGTGCCAAAACAGTCAATTCTAGAATTGCTGAACTTCAGCTACTTGTTGGCTGGAAATCTTTTTATAGAGCACTCAAAAAAAAAAGCCAAGTATTCAGCTCTTCTCTTTCTTTCAGTTTTTAACAGGGCTTTACTCCTGGGGATTATTACTAGGGCTTGCTATTACATAATGATGCACGATCTCTCTAAGTACCTGAGCAGTTTTTTAGCTAAACAGTAAGAAGCTTTACCCTATACAAGCCTGCTGATAATTCCCTTCATTCTCTCTTCTGGTCAGAACTGGTTCAGGTTCTACAGAGGTAGAATCTCTTCCTCAACATTTGAGGCTGAAGTAGGTAAGGCTGTGAAAACTCCAATTTACAGGTATGTGAATATCATATATATATCCATGAAAATTTGGGTGTCTTAGCTTTTTGTTCCCTCTCAAAATAGCACGATTGTGCACAGAGAAAGTAGTTAGGAGTCCTTGTCCTTTTGTGGCAGAGGTGTGAATGACAAAATTGAGTTCATCCAGTGCTCCATCCTGGACTTCCTGGGGTAAGAAAAGGATAATTTTTCTGTGGGGACCATATTTTGTGCTGTTGTCCTTTTGTAGAATGAATTGTTGGTTTTCCATTTGTTTTGGGTTTGATAGAGGTTATGTACTTTATCTTGCAGTCTATCCATAGATTTTTCAGTATACTTTTCCTGTTTTTTTGTAGGATGTTTTGTCTACCAGCACTGCTGAAACCAGCATCACCACCAATTATGTGGTGGTCTATGTCATAGACTTCTACGAGTGAGCCCTGCGAGTGAAATAGCTTTTTGTTTTGTAAATCCTGTCCTTTGGAATGCAAAAAAGGGTTTTCTGACCACACAGAACTGCCTTGTATTCCCACAATCCCAGAGCTGAATTTGAGGACTCTAGCTCACTCAAAACAGATTTGCATTGTCTTTAGCTGCTCAGCAGAGTTACAAACCGCCCTGGCATCTCAGTGGGCTGCTTTTGGTCATCTGCATTCATGCTGGCACCGTTCATGTGAGGTGTCACCGGGTCTCCGTGCATATTGTAAATATGTAGTGTGCCAAATGGGTGCTCCGAACACACAGCATGCAGGTGATGGAAATTAGGAAGATTGCTGTAGTCTGCTGCAGATCCCGTCTTGCTGTGCATGAGCTGTGAGCAAATTACACACAGGAATCTCACTAATCGCATTAGAATTTGGAGCGTTTTGAGAGAGTTCTGAGCATTTCATTCTGTATATAGCTTGGAGCACTGCTTTATAAATAGTGCTATGTTTGGTTTGCAAACAGATGGCTAAGTAGCCAAAGCTTAGCTAGTCAAGCAGGGATGGTTTGCTTCTTAAAAGCAGTGTGGCTGCAGGGAATGAAGTAAGAGCTGGTTTGGCAGGACTTAAGATGTTGAACATCAGATCTTCTGCTTCACTCTGTAACAGATAAAAAGTGAAGCTGTTCTCTGCTCACAGTAACATCAGTCTGAGCATCAAAAACTATTTTGCAGCAGCAGAAAAGAGCAGCAGGACACATGCGTGCTGGATTTTGTTTCCATTTGTGTGACAGAACTCTTGAAAGCAAGGCTGTGCCCTTCAGAATTAAAATAACCATGGAGAGTTCTCCAAGAACTGTTGCATGCTACTTCTGATCTAACTAGGAAAATAAAGTCAGGAAGCACAGACAGGAAATGCAGGAATTCTTGGCTATCTTGGTTCTTTTGCTTTAGAAACATATATGTGTTTATATGCTTTTACCCATAGTAGGAAGTTGAGAGAGAGTTCATGATCTTATTATTAAGAACTTTCCTGTGAACCTAAAGAATCTCTCAGGAGAAAATGTAATGCTGCTTGAGAACTGAGGCAGAAAAGAGCTTTGGAATGAGAGTAAGGCTCTCAAACATTCCTTCAGATGTTGCAAGCAGCTGGATTTTTCACATAACACACAATTTTGTCATGAAGGTGGTAAAATCCAGGCAAGACAGATGTTCTTTTCCCTCCACCCCCATTCTGTGGTCAGGAACACTGCTGAACTGCTGCTCTAGCACCTTCCCTGCTGCTGAGGCTTCTGATTCCTCTACTGGCCAAACTGTTTCTCAGTCAGTAGAGCTGTGGAAATCTTTTTGCCAGCTGCAGAAGTCTACACAGCTGTTACTCTCTGGTCCCCCTCATGAAACTTAGCAAGCCCCTTTCTCAGGGAACAGACAGAGCATAGCTGTGTTTGGGTGCTCAACTTCGTGCATGTGTTGCATCCACAAATGCGTGTTTGGGCACTCAACTTCTAAAAGCATCAGTTGCTCCAAAACTTTCCTCACATTCTATGATTATTTCAGATTAATTTAGTAGATCTCATTCTAGTACAGTGTAGTAATTGTAAGTCAGAATGTTTGACAGTAGGCTACTTCGTGATTTTAAGATTATCTTCCTGTAGAAAATACAGAAACAAAATATGCTAAATTCATGGTGCTGGGAAGGAGACTGTGTGTGTTTTGTGGATTTGTGCAGAGAAATATCAACTAAATCTGATACCATCTCAATGTCAAATCCATTTGAGGTGTCCTGGAAGCTTTTCTAGCTGTCTGCTACTCAGTGTGATCGTTCCTATTTCAACCAGCGAGCTAAGTGTCCATTGACAATACCATGCCAAAGAGAGATAAAGACTTCAGAACTCTCTAACAGGTCCCTGAGATGAGAACTAAGAAGAATGGAAGGCTAGAAGAATGCAGTGAGAGATGATGGAGAGGCTAGGAAGCAATATTTGCTTTGAGAGGCAACAGTTGATGCTGATGGAATGACCCATGCTGGTCATCAGAGAGCATGTTCAAAAAATGTGGGCTTTTTGGTTCTCTTCTCGTTCCTGACTTAAACTCATATGATATCTGAGCTGTTTTGAACATCCTTTTGTGAAATACCCTCAGGAAACTGGTCGCTTTTTGACTAAACAATAGAACCACCACCTTTGGGTGCTGGGATGGAAACTGAATGCTCACTAAGTGGTACCACTGTTTGCACACAAGGCTGTGTGTTAATGAAGGTGAAACTGAGTGATTTCCCATGTATAGTGATCACTTACAAACTGCTTTAACTTCTCTCTTGTAAGCTTGTTTCTGTAGTAGCATGCTGACCAAAACAGCAGGGTGTTTTTTGGAGGCATTGTGTGGGTGGCAATGTCTTCTTGCAGCTGAAGAAATATTTGAATTCCCAGGTGGAGCATCTTTCCTTTAAGAAACTTGAGCCTTTGAACTTAAGGCTTGTTTTGTTACCAATGACTTTTGCTAGCTTCCAGCTTCCTGTTTTCCAGCTGTGGCACTGTTGTGTATTACACAGACGCAGTCCAATGCCTAAGGCATTTACAGACCTACTATAAAGCCACTAAAAAGAGGGTTTAGTAGGCTTGTATATAATTACTGCTTTCCACAGTTTGTTAACCTGAGATTTCAACGTTTTGTTGAATAATTAAATCTCCAGTTTCTGAATGTGCGAGCATCAGTATCCTCCTAAAAGAGAAGAAATGGAGGTGGGAGTTAGGCAGTCTGTCCAGTTTCTCCATATGGAAAATGAATAAGATGAAACAGAGAGGAGCATGACATTTATGCTTTGGATTTAAAGCGATGATCACAGACCTGAGCATTCTTTGTAAATGTCACTGAATAAGCATTTTGTAACAATTTAAAGTAATTTGAAGTATTTGTTTCATGGCTTTTATGGGGAAAAAATATGTAAAGAGACTACAATGCTTCTGTATAGAAAAAGACCAGAATTTAAAAAAAAAAAATCACTAGGATGTTCAAGTTTAATCATGGAATCATAGAATGGCTTGGATTGGAAGGGACCTCAAGGATCATAAAGCACCAACCTCCCTCCAACACACAGGGCCACCAACCTCCACATTTCATACCAGCCCAGGCTGCCCAGGGCCCCATCCAACCTGGCCTTGAACACCTCCAAGGATGGACGGGGCATCCACAGCCTCTCTGGGCAGCTGTTCCAGCACCTCACCACTCTCATAGAGTAGTGACATCCAACCTCAGTCTTCCCTCCTTAATCTTCCCCTTAATGACTTTGTGACTTAAAATGTTACTTCTCTTACTTTTCTTATAATAAATGCTTTTCTTTAGAATATTTAGACCAACAGATACTAAAAAAATGCATTTGATCATGGCTAAAGAGTCCATTATCTATTTGGTTTCCCATTTTATTGCTGACACAATAGATGTAAGTTGTCTAATTACACTGAAGTTTCCCAAAGTATATGATGGCTCAGTCTGTAGAGTATGCAAACGGTATGTTAGCAATTTTCATTTGTTTCTTATGAGTTTCTGAAGATCACTTTTGAATAGGTTTTCTTTGGCATGCAGACTTGAGAGAGGGAAAGAGAACAGAAGGGAGCACAGAATTGTGAAGTGGAGTGTGATGATGGTGATCAAATCTCCACATGGAGATGGACCAAATCTGCAATCTCCATAACTCAGAAAGTTAAGGAAATCCGGGGGGCTCTTCCATCTGCAAAGGAAACAGCCACTGCTGCCGGTGGTTTCATAGCTTAAAGGTTGAACTCGAGTGAAAATGTTTGGATTACGGAGGGAGAGAAAGGAAGACAAATGCTGTGTATAACCTCATGGAAGGAAGACTTTATGTTGTTCTCTTTCTGATGAACAGAGGGTTTTGTAGTTTACCAACTGTACTGTTAGCTACAGACAACTGTCATGGGGCTGCTTTGGTTTTGTGAGGCAAAAATTGGGTTAGATGAATTTGATCAAATTTAGAGACTTAAAACACCTGCAATTAATAGTGTAAAAAAGGTTTGTACAGAAGCAAACTAAAAAGAAAAGGAAAAATATGTAAGTGAATCAAATAGTGATTAGCTTATGGAAGAGGTAATAAAACATCCAGGAGTATAAATATATCTGTATTCTTAGTTGACCTCAGAAAATCAGGTAAGTATTATTGCCAACACTACACTTAAACATAGATGAGGTTCTATATTAATTCAGTCATTAAAATTTTGAATTTCTTATGTAAAGATTGCTTGGATAATTGTCTCTGATGGTAAGAGATCTTGTAGAGCTTCATGCCCTGGATTCCAGCGGTGAGCTGACATCTCTTGGAAGAATCCTACCAGCCTTCCCATTGAACCACTTGGCAAGATGATGACAACAGGATGTAATTTTAGTAAGTTTAATGGCTTTGTTCCTCTGAGCTCTTGAGCCTCTAGAAGTGCAATATACAAAAGAAAAAGCAGTACATCCAGATGAGCAATAAATGCTACAACTGGGAATAAAAAACTGAATATTGATGAGATCAGAGAATAAGTAACTTTTTGTATAGGGAATAAAGTAGTTGTGAACTGAAAGGGTGAGTGGAGTGACTGAAACAGACCAGTAGAAGCTGAATATTTATGAAGCAAGAGTGGGACTGCAAATATTAAGTGCAATGGTAAGGTAGAGATAGAGGGATAGGAATTTTGAGACCTAGACAGGACAAACAATGAATTCACACATTTTATTTTGACAGAAGACCTGTTGCTTTTAACTGTGATGGCTGTGGGGTCATTTTCACCCAAAGAAGATGGTGGAAAGACCTAGAGATGGTTGGAAGAAGATAGACAAAGTATGCAGCAAGTGAAAAAGCAGAGAAACACCACGCTTGTGAACACCAAGAATTTAGCATGGCTTAAGAACGGTTTAGGTAGAAAAGGTGCAGCTGAAGGGTATGTATTCAATCTGTCTTCCCAGAAAGTGAGATTCTATTTGGACATAGTGATTTAATGAGGGTGATTTTCATTCAGGGATGAGAAATAAACAGGATAATCTGAGATGAACACACAGGCAACGAAGTGTGCCTTAATGAGCTTCTACTTTTACAGCTATGTTCAGGTGAAATTACAGTGCTGCCTCATTCTCATTATCGTCTACCAGACAAAAACAGACAAGCTGTGATAGCTGAGATGCAATACAGGGAGGTTTTGGAGGCTGAGGCTAGGCCAGAAGGATTGAAAGTATGTTGATTGATTGTCCTTAGAGAGTAACCTCCCTGATTTACTGTTCTTCACTTGCTGCATCCCCAAAATGTCCTCTCTAAGTGCTGTGTTTCCTGGCTCCTTGGTATTAGCCTTAGGGAATCTATGTGTTGTAAACATTGTGCTGTGTGTCTTATGATTTTCTGCATTTGTGCCACAGCAGAGATGTGCAGTAATGTTTTATTCAATTACTCAGTTTTCTAAATGGCCATTTAAAATGGCCTAAAAAGGGCCATTTTAAAACTGTTTCTTAAAGATGACCAGGTTCTGAATTTGCTGCAGCTCCCTGCAGCCCGAGCAGCCTGCTTAGTTAACTGACATGGCTGGCTGAATTCAGCAGATGCTTGTCTCTCTTAAAAAAAAAACAAAAAAAAAAAACCAAAAAAAACCCCAACCATTCCTTTAATATTATTTCTCTCTTTACACTGCTAGAATCATTATTGCATTTATCCTTAACCTTTTTTTTTTTTCCTTTGGGCAAGATGACATGAAACCAAGCCACCAGAGAATCTGGGGAAGTTCATAACAAACGAAGTAATGAAAACATTCTGACCTCCCCCAAACGATCTGTCTCCAAAACAAATGACAGGAAACACACTGTGGTACAGCACATTCTGGGCAAACCTCTCACTTCTTGTTTTTGAAGAGCTTGGGAGAGAAAAATACTTCTTTGTAGTAGTATTTTTCAGCTTTTTGCTACCCATGAATTAATTGGAAACTGAATGTAGAGCTGAAATGCTCTGAGTGCAGAGGTTATTTAAGAGTAGATGCCCATCTGCCAGCTGATTGAATCAGAAAACGCATTGATCCGGGATCCTAAACAACTGCTGTGCTGTCCTACATGACCTGTGGATGCTAGCCAGTCTTCTGCTCTCTGTCAACAGAATGTTTGATGACTCAACCATTTAACAGCACTGGACCAGATAATCATCTGGATGTTGTAATATCCTTGCTTGCTTTTGAGGTCTACCCCAGTGTCTGCTATCACAAGGAGAAAAGGAAAATTCGTACTGCTGAGGGGCATTACGTGCTCAGCCACACATCACCTGTCAGCAGACAGGACAGGAAGTGTCAGCCACTTTTCTTCATGGTTGGACAATCTTGGTTTGATGCTTGGGATTTCCACAGGTATAATTCAGAACTGTGGTGAGGCTTCACTTCTGCCCCAGCTTAGCCAGAACTTCAGTTTGCTTCTGTCGTTTGCGTAAAGTGAGCCTTCTAAATAGGCCACAAGACTTTTGAACTCAAAATACTATGCTTTGTTAAATCCAAGTACACGTGGAATCTAAAAGCAATTAAGGTGTTGGCTTAAGAGTGACTAGGTAAGACTGGGGTGAAGGAATGATTTATTCGCAGCTCTCTTACTACCCACTGCATACAGAGAGCTCCTCTTTGAGGCTTGAATGTCTTGTTTTCTGCTATATGTGGCAGTCTCTGATCTGCAAGTTCATTGCTGTTTGTTATGGCCATTCTGCTGTGATTTCCATTCTGGAAGCTTGTCTCTTCTGAGCATGCATAGCAGCTTCTAGCATAGGATCAAATCTCTTTCCTGAAGACAAAAGTAATAGATTGTGCCCCCCACACTGATGTGTGAAAGGAGGAGGGAGGCTGCAAGCCCTAAGTACTACTCTTCATGTCCTCTTTAAAATGAATGGCAGCAGCCCACGCAGCCAGAGCTGCTGTCTGTGGCTCAGTTGGATGGCTTGTTATTGTCAGAGTGCTCATTTCAAGTCCAAACTTAAGGCCTTGTTTCTACAAAATGGCAAAGTGGGCATCTTTGCATGGACATGTGGCAGCATTCAGATGTGCACGTGAGACCCTCTTATCATCACTGCCCCAGCAATGCCAGAGGCGGGAAGATAACTCAGCACTGCCTTGGTCCATTTTAGACTGACAAAAGATGAGATGGCTGTTGCAATATGTCAGCTGCTTTCACCTTTTATAACCGTTTATACCTTTTAACAGAGAGTAGCTTTGAGCAGCTTTTTTTGTTTGCACTAATCAGTGCTGAATCCCTGTAAACAGCTGCCTGGTGTTTCAATTTGTTTGCATGCACATCATATCTAGATTTTGGTGTGTGCTTTCTTGTTTAGTTTTTGCTTTCCTACATAGCATACATCTTATGAAAGACATCTGAATGTCTCTTTTAAAAATATTTTTTATTTCCCAATTATTTTTAATTTCCCAAAATGAAGGTCAAGAGTTGCTGGAGTTCAGTTCACTGCTATGTTGAGGGCAGCCTGTAGTTTCTGAAATGCTGAGGTGCTGCATGCTTTTCGTTTACACCATTTTGTATCTTGCTGTTTTGACACGAAGGATTAAGTGTTAGTGTTTCCTGAGTATGCTAAATCTGCAAATCTAAGCAGGAGGATAGCTGATGTTTTAACAATATCACGTTGTAGGGAGCTGGCAAATTTTCCTCCTGAATTTCACGTCCCTTTCGTAGCAAATCTAATAGATGAGAATGTAGAGTACTGGGTCAGTATGTTCTGCACACGATGGAAGACCAATCGCCGGAGTGTGTTCCATAACGGGTTATCTCCTGGAAGCTGCGATACATCTGATGTCATTCTTTCTGCTCTAGGATCAAACTGAGAGTGCCCCGCATTGGCTGCGTGTGTGTGCTGTGACGGAGATGTTCACTGTGGAAGCAGCTAAAAACCTGGAGATCATTTGGCAGCTGGACCCAGCAGATGAGCAAATGTGGCATGTGATCTATCAGGTCCCCAGGCCGCCAGCAGCGGGCATCAACCTCATGGCTACCAATGGAAGGTGAGCTTGATGCTCTGGAGTGGGGGGCACTCAGCATCTTTGCCCCCAGGGACACCAATCCCCCAGACAGCAGCTTTGAGCTGTCAGCTCCCAGCTCACAGAGGCTGCAGAAGCCCAGAGCTAAAATCAGCGGGAGAGGTTTTTTCCAATGCGGAAAAGGAGCTTCAGGCTTTTGTCTGAGCATATGTGAAACTGTTGTATTCAGAGTCTGCTGTAGACAAATCACTGCCTGTTTCCACAGGAAGTATGAATGGCTCTCAGTAATAAAAGCTGTCGTCGCCCGTTCCAAAACACAATGACTATAAAAGAAAAGATAATCTAGATTTATTTTGGGCAAACCTCTTCATCACTGTCTCTGGAAATAAAACAAAACTCTTGGCTGTGCTGGCACCCCTCTATTGCCCCTTGTTTACACATCTTATGAGGCAAAGGAAAATGAACACACCTGTGAGCTGTTGCTAGTTTAGGAATGAAATAAAGGGCAGCTTGCTCCTCCCTGAAGACATACAAAGCCAGGCTGGATGGGGCTGCGAGCAGCCTGGTCTGGTGGGAGGTGTCCCTGCCTATAGCAGGGGGTTGGAACTAGAAGGTCTCTTCCAACCCAAACCATTCTAAGATTATATGATTCTAAGTCTTTCCATTTTGACAAAAGAACTTGTTTCTTTCCTGAATTGCTTTCTTGCTGTTACCAGTCTGTTTGCCATTTCAGTTACCTAGCACAAATGCAGCTCTGTAAAATATTGTGCTTTAAGGGATTTACTGCAAGTTGTGTGATTTCTTTTTTTTTTTTTTTTTTTCCTTAATAAAGAATTTGGTTTTCAAGCTTTATGGCCTGTACCTAAATTGTATTTAGATTTTGAAGCCATCTATTGTTAGCTTTAGTTGTAGAAGGTATAAGACATTCTGAAGGAATCTTGTCTAAAACCATTCTCTGCCAAACAAATTTCAAATTACAGAGCTTGGACTCAGTGGGGATTTTTCTTTGTTGTCTAATAAGCTGTGCAAATAGGCCCTGCTGCACTGGTTTTCTGTCTATGCCAGGCAGTACTTCGTTGCTTTGCAGCCACCCACTGTCCTGGTGCATGCTGCGTTGCACTTCACAGCGCAGCAGCTGACAAGCTCTTTTGCTGATTCAGATGGTGTGGGAACATGGGATACCTTTTTCAAGACTGGTGTGATGCTGCTTGTGCCCAGCGAACCTCAAGTGAACTCAGAATTGTGAAGCGTGCCCTTAATCTGAGGCAGTGTTCATTTACATTCTCATTCTGAAATAGTCACACTTCATTATTCCAAAAGCACGTGAAAAAGATTTTTTTTCATTAGGATTCTTTGGATCTGTAGCCTGTGCATTCCAACTGGAGTGCTTCTTCAGAACCAGTAATTCGCTGGATTTACAGGGATGTAGGGGGTATTTCAGTGTTTGAGAAACATCTAAAGCAAGTCCAGCATTTTTTGTATTTCTTATTAAGACTTCTTAAAAACTATGTGAAGTTGAAGCACTGTTTTCCTTTAATCAAAACTGTTAAAAGACAAATAACACATGGAGCTTAGATGTGTTGCTGTGAATTGCAAATGTCTTTGATGTCGTCGTGTTTTAGTGTTCGCCTCTGAACATAAGTCTTAAATTAATTTGGAATGTAGATCTTCTGCACTGTGTGGTGTGCTAAACTCCCCAGCCCTGTCTGTTGATGTAGACAAGTGGAAGAATGGTTGCTCGTGGCTATCACTACTGCTGATGCCCAGCCTGGGAACCGGAACAGCCTTCCAAGAAACCAGAAGAGATGGACATTGAGAGATGTACTGTAGCATTAGCCACTTTCTCTTTTCACAGCTGTATTTATTGTATCCAGACAAAACTTGCTTCTCTTGGTTTGTCCATCAAACTTTGTTTTATTCCAGTTGGCATTATCGCAAGTCTGGAAACCTGAAGCAGATGCACAATGTTCTTAAAGAGAAATAAGCTTAGTAATTTCAGTATCAAGTTAACAGGTCTTAAAAATGATCTAATATCTGTTAAAGCTTTAAAATTTTCTCCCTAGCTGTTACTGGTCTTCAGAAAAAGTCAGCATTTAAACGAGGCAGGAGATGAATGCAAGGTGAGCACAGAACAGCTGTGCAGAGCTAACTCAAGTGATGGCAAATATGTTTTTTTATTTTTGATACTCTGGCTGAACACAGTCCTGTGAACAGCAAAAGATATGCAGCCATGCTTTCTATTGTGATGAAGGAATTTGAGATCAGGTTTCAAGATTGCAAAAAAAATCATGAATATTTTTATTTTCAGCAGCTCCATTTTCAGTTGGCATAAATACATGATCTGTGAATCTTAAAGTGGAATGTATAGAGTTGCAATGCAGAATGTGATCGTGTCTTTTTACCAAGCTTGTGTAGGAGAGAAACATCCCTCTCTTCACAGCCACACTTTCTTTGTGTCACCACTTTTTGGCAATGCATCCACTTGTGAACAACTGTAATCAAGATTGAAGACAAGAAGAGTAAGATTTCATCAGAAATCTCTGATGAGCACTCTGGTTAACTTTATTATATCTTTTATGGGGGCTGCTTTGAAAGTAATGCCTCCTGTGGTACTACTTTGACCCATGACATCAGAAGCAGATGGTGGTGGTATGGCAATAGAGGTTGAACCTTCTGCCAGTATCCCAGTATGTGTTGTTGCTGTGTGACATACAGCAGCAGAGGGGCAGCCTGACACAGTGGCATCTGACATGGAGGTGCAGATGAAGGAAAGATGTACCACTGAATTCCTCCATGCAAAAAAAAAAAAAGGTGTTTGTTGATAGTTGGTGAATGTTTATGGAGACCAAAGAGTGGATGTGAGCACAGTGAGGGGTGTGTGGTGCATTTCAACAATGGCGACAGTGACAGGTGACAGTGGGTCACCTCTGCTAGTGCAGATTGTTACAAGCATGGCACGCAGGCTGTTGTTCATCACTGGTGATAATGCATGGCTAATGTTGCTGACTGTTGAAAAAGTGTTGAAAAATGGCTGCCTGGAAGTACTTCCTGCATTCAAAGGCCATTGACAGTATTGGTTATGTGCAACAGAAAGGCAGGCAGCGCTGGCACACGCTAACTCTGAGATCGCCTTGTTCAAACTCTTCCTTTTTAAAGAAAAAGAGTCAAAAAAGGTAAAGTAAAAGATAAATTCAGAACCACCTTTTGCCAGATACGAGACCATACAACATGTAACCTGAACAAGGGTATATGTGCAAGTGAATGCATGCATTTGGATCCATGCTCACAGGCTTTGTATTGGTGAGGTGTGATTTACTGAAGCGTGATTTGAAAGTTTGTTGCTGCAAATTTCTGATTCAACCTTTCCCCTTATGGCAGTGCCACATACAGTGCTGATGTTGACACTCTTTTGAGAAACAGAAGAAAAATCACAACAGGAGACTTTGAGGGGAGAGGCCCCACTTACTGTAGAAGCCATTATTGACTGATTTTGTGCTGAATTAAGGTATGTTTGGTTAAACTGATTTTTCACTGAATTCCTGTTGTACTGCATTCCAGTTGCATGGCATTTTTCCCTTGGTAGTAACTGATGAACTATACTCTGCTGCTTATTTTCACACTGAAAGCTTTTAATCCAAGTAAACTTTTTCTTTCCTAGCCTTGACTAAGGATCACTGGTGAGGACTGCGTTAGAGCTGCAGTTCATAAAGATGGATGTAAATTATAACAGACTGCAATGGTAAGATCTAATCATAAGGTCTCCATTAACCTGGGTGTAAGATGACAGCCATGTATTCTCCCAGGAAAATGATCTTGTGGCCTCGCTCAAGTTACCAAGTTGCTGAGGTGGAGAACCCACAGGAAAATCTCTCATCTATATGGAAAAAAATGAGCACCACTTCATAGATCTGAGCATACAAAAAAAAGAAAAATAAAAATAAATTAAATTTTCATATTTCAGCACAATTTAAAAATTGCCTGCACCATCGCTTTCCTTAGCTGTTTGCAAAGGCTACTAACTCTTTTCAGATTCCAAGACTGCGTTTTGGAAGAGGAATTCCAAGTTTTCCTCCCACTCTTCTATCTGAAAAACAATGACAACAAAAAAACATTCATAAAGGCTATGCTGGAACATAGATGAAGAATTGCAGTTTTTCCCAAGAACAACTGAGCTCCTGACCCATAGTCAGTGGCTGCTGTGTAATTACCCATCATTCCTCTTTCCTTTTCCTAAAGGAATTGATTACTCAGTGTAGACAACTTTTGTGTTTTTGTTTTGTTTTGGCAGTGGGGTAAGGAGAGTGAGAGTTGTCCCAACTGCGTCAGCACTCTTTCCAATGACAGAAATTGAAAGAAACACACTGCAAGAAGGAAATTCTCAGCCATCATGAGCTTAAAGAATAACTACATGTTTGGTCATGTAGCTCCATGCCAACCAGTGCTGTGAGGGTAGTTGTTGCCCCCAAATTCCCAGCTAGGGATGGAGAACAAAAAGCTGAAAGTCCAATACTGCCTATGTAAAAAGAATACACAGTAGTACCTAGGAGTTTAAGGAGGCTTCAAGAGAAGAGTAAAAGATAACAATAATGGAAATGCTAAGTCATGGCATGAAGCAGTAATTGAGCACCTGGTGGGAAGGCAGGGCCAACCCAAGGGAGCTCAGGTGTATGCAATGAACCTGAGTGACCAGAAGGGATGGAGCCAGGATCCACCCCTTTTCTGACCTCATTTAAGGGTTGGCAGTGGAGGCAGGGGTATCTTGCTGGAGATTGCTACCTAACTGAGGCCTTCTGAAGGTAGGCGGCTTTTTTTTTTTTTTTCTTTCTCCCTCCCCCTCCCTGTGGTTGTTGCATTTGTGCAAATCCTCACTTAATGCAGCCTAGGACTTTACTGCTCTGCTATCACTGCTGTGCTTTCCGTTGTGTTACAATAACTCAATTTTTTTTTAAATATTCTTTATTGTGAAGCGTCTTAAAACATAATTCCTCTTTCAACTGATTGCCTTTTCGCACACTGTTAGTGTCGGTAACTCCACAGCAATGCCATTTCAGTTGATTATTCCTTTTGACTTAGGTTGTTCAAACTGACTGCTTGCTACATTCAAATACTACTCAACGTAAACTTTAACTGAAGTTAGACATTAAGATTCTGGGCTCTGACTCAAGAGCTCAACCCAATCCCAAGATTCTGGGCTCTTTGAAAACAAGCTCTGACTTATAAACTATGCTTTTCTACTGCAGCTGCTCTTATAAAATTTGCTTGTCAAATTTATACAGATAATGCTGGAAATATAGATGTGATAACAAGCTTCTCCCTTTCCATCACATCTATCAAGAGGCCACGACACTGTAAGGCATTGTTACCCCAACAGTGGATGTGCAGTTCACCTACAGCCTCTGAGGTTACTGCAGATACGTGATGAGGTGGATCTATTGTAGTAGTATTTAGTTACAAATGTATGTATTTTTATGTAGAAGCTCTCCTCCATTCAGTGCACTAAGAAATCATAGAATCACTGAGGTTGGAAAAGACCTACAAGATCTCCCAGTCTAACCATCCACCTATGACCGATGATGTTCCTGAAGACATCTTCTACTTGTAATTTATAGTTGCCCTCCTCCTTTACCAGCTTTATCAATTCTGGGATTTGGGGCAAGAAAGAATTTGAAGATTTAAGATCCTCCGAAGCCCATAGTGTGGGAACTGTACGAACACAACCTACAGAGCATAAAACTGCTAGAAAATCTCCCAACACTTTCCACCGCATCATACTTTCCACCACAAAATTATCAGCATTGATTTTATTTATTTATTTTTTTTATAGCCTTTGAGTGACTCAGGAATCTGGCAGTGTCCAAAGTGTGAGCTTTGCTCATGCATCTGTAGTGGGTGGAAGGGCAGAGTTAAGAGACTTCTAGTCCTGTAGAAAAATTCTCTGGAAACAAACTTAAGGAACTGGGATGGAAGAAAGAGCCCATCATTACCAAGTGCTGATCAGACCTCCAAAATCTCAGGACAGCTATATATAAAAGTTAGAATTAAAACATATGTTATCTATTAATACAGGAATACTTTATGATAAGAAGCAAACGTGTGTTTTTACTCTTCCATGCCATATACCAAATGGGACACGTTGCCCAACAAAACTGTCTGCTATCCCTGTTAAAATACAAATTTCTAGCCATATCAAGTCGTAATGAAGGGATTTATGTGCTTATTTTCATGAGGAAAAAAGATTTTTCCCCTGACGTTGTCAGATGTCCCATGTGCTTTCAGACATTAAATCTAATCCAGTTTCAAATGTGAAATGTACATACTGTACACTGTGCTATGTGTAAGGCATCTGCATGTTAGCTGGTGGATACATGATGAAAGCTGCAGTTTCAAAGTAGTTAACAGTTTCTAGCAACCTGGAAAATGACCTCCAGACTTCTCAAAAAAACCCCACATTTTTAATTTTTTTTCTTTCTCATTGAATAATTTTGGCTTTAATTCTTATTTCTAAAGTGATGACATGGAATGTTTGTCCCACATGCACCTCTGTGGCAGCATAACGCTGCTGGAGGTGGGAACCTGTAAGACACTGTTTAAACACCAATGGAAGCAAAGAGTTGCTAAACTTGTAGAAGGGCTGCTAAACTTGTAACTGGAAAACCAATCACAGCAGTGAATCCAGTCTGATTCTCTTGCAAGGAGAAGACAAAGCAGGAGACTTCCAGGTGGTCTCTGAGTCTGGTGCAAATTAGCTTATTAGGTAACTGTAATCTCATATGATGGTGTTGTCTTTATCAGCAACAAACACAAAAAAACACCCTGCTTGAATTTTGCGTATGAAAGGCAAAAGCTTTTTTTTCAAGACACGGGATTTCAAGCCTTTTTCAAGTCCCATTTGAACAACCAGTACCACCACAGCTACAGCAATCCCAAATAAATCAACTCTGCCTTCCTCGTTCTCCAGTTTGTAACCTGAATCTCGAGGAGCCAGGACAGCTTCAGACAGCTCACTGACACACACACACACCCTTCCCCCCCAAACCGTTCGGGTCAGTTGAGACAACAGATGAGCAGTAGCACCGGTGTTTATTGTATGACCTTTTACAGCTGCCATAAAATGGCTCATCCTTCTCCCCCAGGGCTGATGCAGACATTTAGTTTGGCGAGTGGTGCTGGCAGGCTGCTTGCATGAGTAGCCAGAAGCTCTGCAATAGTTTTGGACCAGAGTGTGACTTAGATCATAATTGGGTAAAGCAATAGTCTACCATGAAGGAACAGGAAGAGAAGAAAGGGAAAATAACACTGCACATCATCTGCAGCAGCCAGTGTTCTTGCATGGGTGTGCACCTGAGCATGCCAGTCTGTGCTAACAGAAGCTGGATGGCTCTATCATGCTGATAGAGAATGGGTAAGTGTGATGGAACAGCCAGTGGGGAATGCTTTGTGGCCAGAAAAGCACAGGCCAAAAGCAGACAGCAGTGCAGTGTCAGTATTGTTATCTGCATCCTGCACAGATCCTTCCCACAGCTGAGAGAACAGTGCCCGTCAAAGAGCTACTACAGGACTTCCAACTTGGTCAGGCAGTGCCTTTGGGAGGCAGCCAGTCCTGTGAGCACCTCCATGTGACACGCCTGTGCTGGGAAGCAGCACGGCACTGAGCCAGTTGCCACAGAGGTTTGTTTCTAAAGGGCTTTCCTTGCTTTCTATAGGAGCTTCTGTGCTGGTGTGCTTACAGCCCAATAGATCACAAAGAAGCTGGCACCCATAGGAGAACATAAATGTCAGGGAGACGTGGAAGGAGCAACATACGTTGTTCTTGTTTTAATGTAAATTAGCACAAATCTTGCAGAGAGATGTTCCTTTGCAAATATGAATAACTGCTAAAAGTCAGCATCAAGCAGTGGAAGAGTGGAGCAGAACAGAAGTTTTCATAGTACTTTGTTCACAGCTCTTGGAATAAAGAGTGTCTTGACCTGCAACAACTGTCTCAATAACACTAGACATACCAGTAGAGCTGGAAGAGGCAATCTTGAGTTGGGCTGAAAGCAGAAAGTTATTGCATTTGTGTTTGCTTGGAAGCAGATCCTGCATGCTCACTCTTGGCAATAACACAATAACATTTCAGTGCTCTGAAAGCTGTTTACACATATGATACTTTAATGCTATTAACAAGAACGACTTAGAAATGAAATTCACTGCACAAATGATTGCTCTTTGCTGAGAGCTGTGTGCATGGTCTTCATCGCTCTGCATGCCCAGGTGGCATCACCTACTCTGCTGTTAAGAGGCTTTGCAATTTGTGAAGTAAGTTATGATAGATAAGGTGAGAAAAGCAAAGTCAAGTCATTATGAGAAAAGTATTCTTACAAATTACAGGCTGGCATCTTGTAATCTGTATTCGAAGAGTGAGGCATAAGAAGTGAAGCAGACAGGTAAGTGTGAAAGAATTGTCATGCTTTCAAAGCCTGAAGAGTTGAAGATTACTCTTTCTTCCCTCCCTCATGACAAAGTTCAAAACTTATTGAAACTTATAAAAACAGTTCTACCTTGTAGTCTTCCAGATTATATTTGCTTGACAAAAGTTCCAAAGGATGTAGTTGTCACATCAGCTCGTAGGCCAGAGAAGCTTCCTAGCAATGAGATATGGATTTGCTCAAAATACATTTTCAGTTTCGTTGCACTTTAGATTGAAGTTTTTTGTGTGTGATTACCAAAACGAAGCAAGCTTCTCAATAGTTCTGCCATGGGTACAGCTCCTCAGCTCCATCTGTGAATGATAAAATGGTGCAAAAGATGTTGCATACTTCACAACTTCCAAAGCCTTGTAATTCAACCCAGCATCATCCAGTCCTTCACCAGGGTTGTCTTCCAGTGAAGCTATGCAATGGCCCCATTCCTCCAAGGTGTTACCAAGCAGTTCTCTAGGAATATTTTTCAAAATAAGAAGAGAATGGTTCAGCAAAGAGGTGGAGACTCTGAGCTGAGATCTGAGGTTGTTTGCGAGGAGCCCAATTTAGACAAAGGCCATATGTCAAAGTGCATATTTGCGTTACTATTGTCACGCACACACAAAGAACTACAAAGACAGACATTCTTGCGTGATCTTGCGATTCAATTCCATATGATATTAAAGTAGAAAAATTGTATTTGTGAAAATAGCATATTCACACCCTGCATTTCTTTCCAGGCAGAGTATTTTTGAGTCTATGAGCAATATATGTGAAAAATAGTGGCTGCATCAGGTAGCTATAGTAACCAACATCTACAAATAAATGACAAAAGAGTACGTAAGCTGTCCCAAGTGATAGTGCCTGAATTTGCATTTTACCAGACGATGACTTCGCTCATTGCCTGTGACATGTCAAAGCTGTCTAAACAATGCAAGTAGGTTGTCTAGCTTTCCCATGCTATATACCTTATTCTGAGTTGCTTCCAGCTTTCACGAGCCTCCAGTTTTCAGGTCAAAGCTTGCCAGGTTCATTCTCTATGAAGTTGACCTTAAACTCTGAATGGGGGCTGTACGAAACAGATGAGAGGAAGAGGAGTTACTGTAGACTTAAATATGGGTATGGTTGTTGGTATTTTAAAAAACATTGGCAGGGCTGCCAATCACTGGATCAAGTGCTAGACCAGGCTGCTCAGGGGTCCATCCAATGAGGTCCCTGGGGCCACCAAGTCTTCTCCTCATCTGCCCTCATTTTAGCTTCCCTGAAGCAGGAATTCAAGAGAAACTTGTGGAATTGTCATTCATCATTTTATGTCAGGCTGAACAATTTCTTCATTGAGTTAAGTGCTACTCGTACACTGGAACCTGAATAAATTGGCAACGCCAACTGCATGATGTGTGGAGAACAACACAATGGGAGAACATCTGCTGTCCCAACAGTGACCTGGAAGGAAATCTAACAGTGAGTACTGGGGATCAGTATGAGAAAAATGCTGTGTTAGTATCTGTTCACTTCAGGGGACTAACAAAGTTATCTGCGCTGTGGTCCTCACTCTTTTTTCTTTGCAAATCCAGATGTTGTTACGCTGGGGCTTGGCCATGTGACTGAATAGCTGTTATTGTCCTGAAAGATGGAATTTGTGAAAACTGGGGGCTCCTGTATTGGAGATAAATACTAGAAGAAGCTTTTAAGCCTCTACGGTGGAAACCTGGGAATTCTGCAGCTTGGTCCTTTGTGACTGACAGTCTGAGATCCAGGCAGGGCAAGAAAAGTAAACCAAAGCAACTTTAATGATTCTCTCAGATTAGCACAAGCTAAAAAGAACTCTCAGCCATTACCTGGAGGCTTACTGCACTTTGAGGTACTGCGTGCAGAATTAGATTTATATTTGCTTAAATGAACTGGGAGTCCCATGGAGGGATCATAGAATCACCGAATCACCAAGGTTGGAAAAGACCTCCGAGAGCATCCAGTCCAACTGTCTGTCTACCTCCAGTATTTCCCTCTAAACCATGTCTGTCAGTACAACAGTTCTAAACATTTCTTGAACACTTCCAGGGACAGCGACTCCAACACCTCCCCGGGCAGCCCATTCCAGCACCTGACCACCCTCTTGGAGAAGAATTTTTTCCTAAAGTCCAACCCGAATCTCCCCTGGTACAACTTGATGCCATTAATGATTCTGACCAAGTTAAAATCATTCCATCCAATTCAACCGCTGTGCAACCAGCTTCACTGTAAGAAGAAAGACAAACGAGCATATAGAGTTAATCAAAAAGTATACAGAGTTAATCAAAGTCTGGTGGTGACTGATAAAGCAGCAACATCCGGTAAGGTGCACTTCCCTAATAATATGCACTACCCAGGGACACGTAATGGTTTAAAATATGTGAAAGTGCAGAAGTGAAAACCATCTATAAAATGTCAGACACAATTTTTGAGCTCTGAGAGCTGCGCTGAAGCGTTGATGAAAACGGTATGTTAGGTATGTATCACAACATAAAGATGTTTATGTTCCAGAGTGTTTTGTTTTCTTAACCTTTGAAGTTCAGCAGTTCGGGTGGCAAAGCCTTGGTAGCCACAAGGCCGTGGTTGAAAAGGAGTGTGAAAAGTATTTAGAGAACTCAAAGCCAAAAACGGGACCAACAAAAAAGTACGTTTCAGGTTAAACAAACACTGGGCAGTGACAATGAGGTGCTATTTTAAGGAGTATTCTGTAATTTAAAACAATACAGAAAATAGCTTTTAAGAAGCACGTTCTGGTATCTCAATCTAAAATGTCGTTTCAATGCTAACTGAAATTTAACAGTCTTTAACCAACAGGAATCTGGGATGAAACTTTGCCAGAAGATAGGAGCAGGGGAGACTGACGTTATCATCACATGAACTTGTAGCCTATGCTCTGTGCCTTCTCCCTGCCACAAACAATTATAATTTTTTTTTTTAAATATTTAAACACGATAAATCTTAATTTTAACTTCTTGCAGTGATTTTAAAATGACTTGCTAATAGCTGAGGGTAATTAACGCACCTGAAAGGAATTATTAGATAAATATTGTAGTTGATCTACTTAAGTACTTCTAATTGAATTAAATGCTCTGACATAATAACTTTATCGAGCTCCAAAATGAAAGACATGAATAACAGCTGAAGGGAGTACAGATTTCCTATTTAGAGACCTACCAAGAGGACACGATGTACAGGATGAACCATCTCTTAGCAATCACTGCTTTCTTCTGAACAATTGGCTGTCCCTTTCTGATATTTCCTGCTGAACTGAGTAGCAGAGATGAAAACGTGGGCAGAATGTTGAGGTTTCCAGCAAGTGAAATGCATTTACAACTCGTGATGTTCTCTCATGAGGTTCCAACACTCTGCTTTATGGTTTTATTTTTTCAGAATAAATTTATTGTCCCTGAGAAATCACTATGACTTAGAGTCATAGAATCACCAAGATTGGAAAAGACTCACAAGGTCACCCAGTGCAAATTCCAGTCTTCTTGCAGACCAGAGAATGGTTGTGCACATTTCCTCTAAGGATTGCAAGATGTAAGACCTAGCACTCCAAAGAAACATGACTTGCCCTCTTTAGCTGAAGATTTGGGAGAGTAAACACAGCCCTGCTCCAGCCTCCACATGCTGTATCTTCTTTCCCACCAGACCCTCCTGGGTCTTTGGGGATATTCTCTTGACTCAGACGAGGGAAGGAAGGGTGAGAAACCAGAGTGCCGGCTTTTCTCCCAGCTTTTTGCAGCAGGAACTGTGGGTGCTCTTCAGAAGCTGTGCAGACTTATCACTTTGTTTATCTAGCAGCAATAGAAGGTTTAGTCATTGTACAAAATATGGGAGAGTTGTAAATCCTGGCAGTCCAGAGTGAGAGAAAAGGAAAACAGGAAATACAAAGCGATATTACTCAGTAATGGTACTGTGTTATCCTGCCAAGATTGTCCATGTTTGATAGAGGGGTGATCTTGTTGTCAAAAAAAAAAAAAAGCTTTTAGTGTTCCTGCAAACATCTACCTTGAGATGGCTGTGTGACAAACCTCTTGCATTTGTGGTTCATTTATGCTTTGTAGCTTTGCAGGGACCTTGTGGGGTTTAATAGCTGTAAGTTCAGAAGATTGTGCTCATTCCAAGTACTTTTGTTTTGCTCCTTGGCTACGAGGGCTGCACAGATTTTCCCCGAATTGCTTTGTGTAACTATTGAGTCTTTTACGGCAGCATTTTTTAAGTGCAGGGAATGTGTCTTCTGTCCTCTCAGCTGGTCCTTGTCTGGCAGCACAGGGGAGAACACAGTGAGCTGGGGAGCGCTGAGAGCAGAGATGTGGCATGCTGATAGACAGCAAGAACAGATGTAGGTAAGAACCCCAAAAGCAGCTCTGTAGGGTCAAACTCCTCGGGGCTCCTTGCCATCCACTGTGTGCTCCATGTCATGGAAAGGTTAAACAGCTCTGCTTCAATTCATTTGGAGCTTCAGAGGGAGAACAAGCAATTGGGATGATCTGTGACTCTCCAGATCCCAAAATTACACGCTGCTCTTACCATTGTCCAGTGGGACACCCAGATTTGGCTCTTCTGGCATGACAAATCTAAATGCACAAATCTAACTGCAGCTTGCTAATCATGACAAGCTATTTATTTAGCAGGAGACACACAAGCTCTGCTCATCCAAAATCAGTCATCTGAAAGACCAGCCTCCCCAGTGGACCGTGCCCTCCATTGGTCTGACCTTGGCTGTTTGGGAATCGTGGATTGCTGGGATGAGGCTCCACAGTGTTTGGTTTGGAGGAGCACTGGAACTGTGCTTAAAGAACATGAAGATTACAATGGCAAGCTCTTAAAAGATGAGTTGAATTAGGGTTGGTGTCAACGTCCATCTTCTGTGACCAAAGGAAGGACAACAAAATAACTTTATACTATTAATAAAACAATGATCATGAGAAGACCCAGACTGGCAGACAGCACTATGAAAAAAAAGCACAAAAAAACAGGTTGTGACTATAAACAACAGATAAGAACCAACTGGGAAGAAATCGTCAGCCTAGAGCCACTGGCAAAAGTACTTATCCAGCTGTGTATTGCAAAAAATCTTGGGAATTTTGCTGGGAGCTCAGGAAGGATGTTTGTTAAACAACTTTTCTGTGGTCACACAGAACATCCTTCATGGTGAGATACCCAGGACCAGCCCCAAAACTCAGGCTGTGTGCTGGGATAGCGCTTTATCAGGCTTGGAAGATAATTCTAGAGGGAACGTTTTACAGTCAGGGTAAACAGCTCCAGCTCATGTCTGTGAAGGATTTGCATAGCTGGGCAAGTCTCTGCTCTTTGCAGCATGCGGTGCTGGAATTTCTTGGTGGCAGAGGAGACATCAGAGTACCTAGTAGTGCAAAGACACTGAGCCTGAGGTTGTTCTTGGTGAATGTGCAGCTACATATTAGAGATGTAATACCGTACAGAGATATGTTAACAGTGCCTTTGATGCCCTTCCATCCTTGCAGGGTTTGAGACTGTGTGAGCTACGAGGGAAGGAGCATGAGGAACACTTCATCTCCAAGAAGTTCTCTGCGTGTTTCAAGGCTGAGTTCACCCATCCACGCATGCCCCTATCCCAAGGCCATGCTATCAGTGGGCTTTACAGAGGCGGCAGCTCACTGTGGTGCAGGACAGGCAAGTGGAGGTCTCAGAGGAGGAAAGGAGCGTAGTAAGGGCTATCTTGGATCCTCCCGGGCTCTCTGCCGCTGCCTAACGTAGGCTGCAAAAGGTTGCTGCTTAAATACAGCACAAGGCTACAGCACAGGATAAAAAGATGGGGTAAAAATAAAAGGTAAACATCCCACATGCTGGGAAACAGAGATTATGATCAGTGCCTCCACTAGACAGCCATTAAGCAAAAGGATGGGCTGTGTTAGAAGAGGAAAAGCTGCACAGTCCATTCACGTTTCAGCTTTTTCATGTTGGCACGTTTCTTTGCCACATTACTGTCTTAAGAAGAGAAGAAGCATTCCAGGCCTGCTCCAGAAAAGAGATAACAAAATCGCAGGGACTCGTAAGAAGCAGATTTTACTTCCCAGAAGCATGCTCAGAGGTGTATTTACTCGCCTTGCTGTAGCTGCTGCACAGGATTAATTGGGATGATCAGCAAAAGAGTGACTGGAAAGTCAAACGTAAAGAAAGCGCTTTTTGAAGCCATTTCTGCTTTCACAGCTATTGGTTTTCTATTTGGTTTTCTTCATAAGATTACTGTGACTGCTTTTCTTTGATAGATAGAAACCTCACAGTTCTCTGATGTATTCTTGGCTTTTACAACTGCTGGATGAAGGTTGGGCTGAAACCACAGCTATTTACCAAAACAATTCACAGGACTTCTCTATGCAGGATGGCTTTAAACCATAATGGAATATAGAATTGTGTTGCTTTTGCCCTTTTGGCGTTAGTTTTAAGTTCCACTTGTTGCATTACCAGTCTGTGCCGTCCCCACAGAAATCAAAGGTGAGGCGCTTTGGCTCTGCTACCACTTTTCTCTCCAGTTTCAGCCATCTCCACCCACAGAAATTAAGCACTGCCTTTGCTGCCATGAGGTGAAACGGGATGGAAATCAGCCAGTGTGCAGTGGTGGCCCCGCATCGAGGTCTGGGGGGCAGAGCGTCTGATGGGCCGTGGTGCGTTAATGCCAGTGGGATTGCGAAGCAAAAGGGACTGTGGGGAGGATGCTTTGATGGGCTCGGGGGTTCCAGTCATGTAGGGCACTAAAAGCAAAACACGGGTTGTGCATTTTAGACGGGTGCAAGCTTAATGAATGAAACTCGGCTCGGCTGAATGTGAGCCAGCAGTGTGCTCAGGTGGCCAAGAAGGCCAGTGGCATCCTGGCTTGCATCAGGAAGTTGCCAGCAGGGACAGGGAGGTGACTGTCCCCCTGTACTCGGCACTGGTGAGGCTGCACCTCAAGTACTGTGTCCAGTTTTGGGCCCCTCGCTGCAAGAAAGACATTGAGGCCCTGGAGCAGATTTAAAGAAGGGCGACAAAGCTGGTGAGGGGTCTGGAGCACAGGACTGATGAGGAGCAGCTGAAGGAGCTGGAATGTTCAGTCTGGAGGAGGCTGAGGGGAGACCTCACTGCTCTCTGTAACTACCTGAAGGGAGTTGTTGTGAGCTGGGGGTCGGCTTCTTCTCTTGTGTAACAGTGATAGAACTAGAGAGAATGGCTTCAAGCTGCGCCAGGGGGATTTAGGCTGGATGTTAGGAAATACTGCTTTTCTGAAAGAGTGGTCATGCAGTGGAATGGGCTGCCCAGGGAGGTGGTGGAGTCACCGAGCCTGGAGATGTTCAAGGAACGTTTGGACGTTGTGTGGAGGGACGTGGTTTAGTGAGAACTATTGGTGATGGGTGGATGGTTGGACTGGACGATCTTGAATGTCTTTTCCAACCTTGGTGATTCTGTGACTTTACGATCCTGTGAAACGTGACTTGCTACAGAGGTGCGTAGCAAACTGCAGGCAGGAGCATGGGTTGGACACCCACACCAAACACCACAGAAGACCACAGAACCGCGCGATCACAGCCCGCTTTCACTCCGCTCCGCCCGCTTCCCACGACCCCCACCCCTGACCTGCCCGCCCCCAACCCCAGCCCGCTGTGGGCCCCACCGGCACGGCCGCTTTAAGGCCGCCCCGCGGCGCATTCCACCCGGCCGGGCGGGGGGTGCCGCTCCCGGCCTGCCCCGCGCCGCCAGCCCCGCCCGCCGCGGCGCGGCCCGGCCCAGCGGCACAGCAGCCCCGCACGGCCGCGCTCC